GCCTCAAATCAAACATTTTCGATTGTGAGTCCACTTCCAAATTTGCTAAATCTTCACTCACCGACTCGGAACAACAATTTGAAATTATACGCGAAAAATGCGGGAATTTTATCATCGATCACTAATAAAGTATTAGTGATCGATGAATTTTATCGATATTTTGTACCTACAGAAGCAAGTTGGCAAATCGTGCGGAAACCTGAACCAAACGGACATACGTACCTTTAATTAAGAATTATAAATTTAAGGCAAATTGGGGAAATTTGCCTTATGCAAACTTGGTCTAGCAGAGAATAATTACCGCTTGATGATATGAAAAAGAAAACGCCTTATAATATGAAACCAATATTTATTACAAACAAGGTTTTGTTCTACAATTTTGTGGTGTAATATTTTGTACTTAGTACCTAGTATGGTCTATATATAAAGGAGTAACAGTCCCTATCCTTGATATTCCATGTTGATGACTAATGTCTAGTACACAGAATTAATAACAATACAAATGTATTTTTTTTTTACTTTGTTTGAAATAATTGGTCTCAGTGGTGTTAACTTGTTTCTACAAATCTAGTTTAGTAAAGTTTCTACATTGCAGCAGCAGGCCCTGTCGTCGCCCGCGCAAATACAAACACATAAACATTACGAGCAATGTATCGCGAACCGTACGACGCGCCGCGTTTCTGTAATTGACGCCTTAGTGTGCGGCCTAACACTTGATATTAGGGCAGCACTCTGGGTAGGGTTTGGATAAGTCTTCAACCAAGTGGCAATTACCAGGCGACACTGTACCGCATCTAAAAAAAAATGTTTTTTGGGGAAAAAATCCACAAATTTGGGTTATTTTATTACTACCAGTAGGTAGATACTTCAATTTACAGTAACGGCATTTGATATGAAATTAGTTTTTCGAATTACAACTGCATTGCGAATATTCCAAATTTTCGACCACTTTTTTATAAAGGCACACACATTTTTGTTTTCAATTTATTGTTTACATCTGGTTACATGAAATTTCTAAGCCTTTTGTCAGTATGTCAGTGGTGTATTAACACCACTTATATATGGTGAAGGTAAACTTAGTGAGGCAACTTTTAGTTTAATAAGAAATATCATCAAGTTAGTTCTCGGCCTCCTAGTGGAGAGTGAAAAAGAAAAGTTGATTCTTAGAAGCGCACGCAAAGCAAAATGCCAGCTACAGTTTCAACAGCGGATAGCTAGAGTGGTTCTAGCCTTTCCCAAAGAGAGATTGAACTGTCTTACATGGTGGTCGAATCTAAATTTATAATTTTCAATTACAAGTTTGAATTAGCTTAGTGACTTTGCGTGACCTGGAGGACCCAATGGATCAATGTCAGTCTGGTGATGATGATGATGAGGGTGGATTCTCTAAAGATAAATTAACATTATGATCCTTTTCTTATAGTCATTATACTACGCAGACGAAGTCATGGGCAGAAGCTAGTTTATTGGATATCTGCGTTTTTTATCTAGTATTTAAGTTGCATACCCGATTAGCATATCTTTGTATGCTGTTTACACAACCTGAGGTCAACATCAACGAAAAAAATATTTTTGTTTCTATAGAGTATTTTCCTTAAACGATAATATTTTAAAGTTATCCAAGTGACCGTATTTTTAATTAACGGATTAACGTGTTCTCTTTTAAACACGCTTAAATTAGGTCGACCTAACACACAACAACACACACGACAAATCGCTAAATGCTATAAACAAAGTTGCTTTCCCTGTCTCTGTATCTCCATGTCTGTGTACTTACATTTTTAAAACTACGCAATGGATTCGGGTTTGGATTTTTTAATTGATAGAACGATTGAAGAAAGGGTTTCCATCAATTATAACATCCATCATCCAATAGCGGAAAAATTTAGTATATACCGAGCAGGTCGTAGCGGGAGATTATCTAATAAAATCTGAAAATCTAAATGTCACATTTACGTTGGTACATTATTATGGTGGCATCATCCTGGTTTGAATATGGAACGTCTTATTACTTATAATAATTACTGAGTTTGTGCTCACTGGATTTGCCAATCTCTCATAAGTATGAGAGACCCACGGTTCGTCGCGAATGCGTCGACTCGACCGGAGTGAAACAAGCACAAAGTTGTTTTTCGTCATGCAAGTGGCGTCATGTTACAGGAGGCTCCATGCTTCTCCTCTAAACTTCCAAAACTTTAATCCCCAGAAGGACGGTGTGACTGTCCGTCAAATGCCCCTAAAATATAAACAAAAGCATTCCAATATTTTAAAGTATTAGCTTTCCAATGAGCCATATGTTAGGCCATTCATCTTATAGTTTATGGGATTCACACTATAGATAATTACTGACAGGTAATACAGTTGCAACTTGTTATAGGATCTTAAGAATAAGTGGCACCGTTGGGCGCACAATACAATGCAAACGTTTGCAATAATACTCACCCGTGAAAAGTCCAGAGAAACAGTTAAGATATTATAAATAAATAAATAATAAATAAATTTTTATTTCCAAAAACTTAGTACTACTTTATTATTTTAATATGGCAACAGTATCAGTAAAAGTAGAGAGATTAGCGTCTGTAACCGAACTAGGCATAGCCTGTACTTCGGCTATCAGAACCTTTCCCCTCGAGTATTTACCATCTAATAAAAGGTACCAAGCAGATATTGCACAAAAAGTGTCATAAAACTCCAAATGCAAGGGCCTGGGAAAAGGGCTCTGGCGAGGAGATGTTAGGAATGTGATGAAGGCGATAGGGCACTTACTCTTGAACTGCGAAGACGGCAGGTTGTCTTGGATAAGGTAAAATGGATTCTGAGAATTACAAAGTAAATTCAGTGTGAACTGCGGAAGATTTGTGAGTTGCAGCTTAAGAGCAGTGAAGGGGTATGTGAATGTGGTCTTAATTGTAGGTAAGGGTCTGATCCCATCCTATTTGCATCCCGGAACAGTGCTTTGCACTGTACTTGTTGTCCGCGCATCTCCAGGGAGCGTTGGTAGGCTTCACCAAGTGTCACGGAGGCTCTCCATACATTTGATAGCTCTGTTCGAAAGGAACACTAGTTTCAAAACACATGATAAAAAGTGTCTCGTCAAATCCAAAAGATGTGGTGGTAATCTCTAAACTAAAAAATATATATTTGTCGAAACAGAGTTCGATCAAGGCGGTGTAATGATTTGTAGATCTGAATGGCCACTTCGGCGTAGACAAATGCATCTACCAATGTAATATCCTCAACTTTTGTTGCCCTCTTTTTTTGTAATGTAGAATTATTATAATAAGACATCCTTTCATTAATGAATTCTCTAATTCCCTTTGTACTTCCTTTTGGAATATTATAAATAGAAAATGTAGATAACATAAATATACCAATAAAATCAATTATGTTATTTATTGGGAATTCATTATCCTTTAAACGGTGGGAGAGTGACCAGTAACAGGGCGAACTCTACAGGACTGGGCGGATGGCGGAGCTCAGTCCCTTGCCCATTCCCCTAGAAAGAATAAGCCGAATATCATCCCTTCCTTGATTTAGGAAAAACAAAAAAAAAATTAGCTTAGTGTTGGCTAGCATCAGTCACAACAGCTACGTAACCATGACTCCTCCGTTGTTGCGGGTGCCTAGAGGCGGAACCGATTTCTAATAATAATGGTTATTATTTTAAACATTAAGACATTAAGCTACCGGATTAAATGCTGGTAATAACCAATAAAACTTGACTGCTTGCTACACTTCTAACATGTATAGTCAGGGTAAACATCATGAGTAAATTGGAATTTCTAATTTCTAATTATAATTCTGAAATCGCCACCCCGACTTGAGCAAGCCTGATGTTAAGTGCTGAATCTCGGAGCCTCCACTGGCAATTTGAGCGCCAGTTTGCACAGAGAGACAGCCACTTGAGAGAGCCACACTATTACTGACTGAAAACCACCTCGTTTCAATGTTTGCTGCGTGCAGGGGCCTTCTACTCCTATCCTCTGTATCTACTAGTGGCCTAGCAGGCCCCGTCCAATGTACACTTGAATCTGGTTCTTGTCAGAGAGCAAGGTACTCTTTATCCCCAGACCAAGCACTGTATAACCGTTTCTGTATGCACCGTATGTCACAAATACGCTATGCATAATATATGCATATATATGCATGTACCACATCACAATATTGACTTTGAGAGGGAAACGGAATGCTACATGTTCTTTAGAATCTTCTCACAAAATGCAAAGTAAATAAAGAAAAATATATTTTTTAAAGTTATATTGTAGTATTGGCTACTTGGCACCGTTTGATCGTAGTGTATGTACAACGTTCCTGAATGCCTTAAGCATTCAGAAACGTTGTAGCTATCTATCAGTGAAAGAATTTTGGGAATCCGACCAGCGGTTCCAAAGATTAGCCCCTACACACAAAATTACAAATTTTACCGCTTTATAATATTAGTATAGTATAGAAATAAATATGTAAGAATGTTTCAATGCAATTTTAAATTCATGACTTCTGCATCGAAATGTAAATCTATACTAATATATAACAAACTAGTAGAGCTTTTCTCAATATATACACGTGAGTAACCCGTGATTTTTAGTTAAATTATAACACAATAACTTTATAACCGAGTTTATTTTTAAGAAGGTATATGAGAAATTATGTGTTTGTAAGCACACCCACAACTCAGGAGATAATCTAACCGAGGAAACATGTTTAAAAATTTTTTTTCGTATGAATTTACAAATTTGCAAAACCATCACTCCCCCCGACTTGTCTCGTCTTGTCCGCATTATTTGTGTGTAATTCTCGTATTTGAGAATTATACACAAATAATGCGGGATATCAATTAAGTAGAAGAAACAAGGAGTACTGCTCTCCTAAATTTACTTTGCTCTACGAGTATATTAAGGAGTAACATAATATGTTGGTTACAGTACCTACACAGAATTAATAACAATACAACTGAAAACTTTAACAACATTTTTTTTATTTTCACAACTTAAGAAACAACTGGTATCGGGGGTAACACGCGCGCCGTTCATTCGTCGTACATAGCAGCAGCAGTTCGCGTCGTCGCCCGCGCCAATACAAACACATAAACATTACAAGCAATGTATAGCAGACCGTACGACGCGTCGCGTTTCCGTAATTGACGCCTTAGTGTGCGGCCTCACACTTAATTTTAGGGCAGCAATCTGGGTAGGGTTTGGATAAGTCTTCAACTAAGTGGCAATTGGGGATATCGACCATCGTGGAGCCGCATCTAAAAAAATATATAAGTTTTATTTGTGACAGACACTTGCATGCGTAGGCATAGAAAAATTACAGGTTTTTTGTTAAGCTACAAATTTGAATAGTTTTATTACTACCAATACATTAATTTACAATAATGGTTTTTATTCGATTATTTTGCTATACACATAGATAAACCTTTCCATTCCATCATTATGAGTAATTTAAAAAAATATGCATGCATTGGGGTAAAGGAACAAAGGAAGTGACTTTGTTTTATGACTGTGTAGTAAAAATTGATTTTCTCGGAGGAATGTCTTAAAAATAAATGTATATTATCTATCGTTGTTTCATTTCGTAATATAGAGTAAATGGTTGACTTGATATTAACCAATGTTATTTTTTATAGAATGGAGTACTTACGAATTGTAGTTCATCCACTTCCTTCCACATGTTATTTCAGTACAGTGTCCAACAGTCACGCTCTGTCCAAAAGGAATTACATCATTTTTTTCTTCTATATAACATCCTTCCTTATGAGCTGAAATAAAATATAAAAATTTCAAAATAAACTCTAAAAACCCTTAGAAAAAAAGGAAAAAACAACTTGATTCCTTAAACCACCTAATTCGACACTTATACTAATCCTTCCCCATTCTTCTTCCTAAATCCTCAATCTATCTTGAAATCATATCTCTTCTAATGTTGCAAATTGCCAACCATCAGGTGATATCTCTGCTCATTTTCCGAATGATCTCATGAAAAATATGTATATAGTAGACTAGCAGACCGCCCCTGCTTCGCACGTGTACCCGACTACCACGGTATCAGTCATTTGTTTTGCAAGCGAACGGCCATAGCGTCGAAAGGGTTGTTTATTACAGCTATTGCACTTTACTTTTTTAAAGTTTTCTTTTGTAATACCTTACCTAAACCTTCTCCTTATAATAACGAATATAACAAAAAAAGAATTAGCAAAATTGGTCCTGGCGTTATTGAGTTATGCGCTTACCAACACATTTTGCGATTCATTTTTATATTATAGATGATTAGATATAAAAACTAAAACCACTCACCAAATGCTGCAGGTTTCGGAGGAACCGGTCCCATTGCTTGCGCTGCAATAGTGGTTCCGACAATCAAGGCAATAATAAAAACCTTCGACAACATTTTATATTTCAACAGTAGAAACTGTGGTCAAAACAAATCCAATGGAATTCAGTTTCCAGCTGTCCGAGATGGAATGACTACCCACCGGCCGAGATCTTGTATTTATTTCAAAACGGCTGATAAGACTGTGAGATAGTCCAGATACGTATATATGTATTGTGTGCCCTTGTGATTAATTAATTGTGTCTCTGTAAACCTTTCAATTGTATTATTTTTTTTTCCTGGTGTTCATTTTAGCTTATGCAGTATTTTCTATTACTTTTGTCTACTTAGTTATTATTATTTATAATAAGTACTATTAGGCTCCGGCTTTTGTATATTTTTTGTTCCTGGTGTTCATTTCAGCTTTTGCAGTGGGAGCTCCTCGGTGGATGCCATCAAGCGTGTGAGGGATAGACCAGGGGGTGGATCAGCGTGGCGGTGCCTTTAGACACGCCAACGCATTTAACTCGCTGCCTAAGAGCTGCATCTTATAGGCACTCCAGTACCACCGGTTGCCTGCCTGCCTCCGTCGTGTAGTCGAGGTTTATTTGACGGATAGATTTACTATCTACTCCGGTCACTGGGGCGTGTGGAACCAGCGGGAGTTGTCGCGTTGTGTTTACAGGGATTAGTCTTGGAACCACTCCTAAGGGACATTCGATATGATTGGGTGCTACGCACCGACCTACCGAGCGACTTCAACGTACGCCATCTGCTTTCATGTGTGGTAAGCACCCACATTAGACGGAAGGTGAAAAAACAATGGCGACTGTCTAGCCACTCCTCAATGAGGGAAAGCAACGTATCTCGCAGCGTCGCCATAATCGCGAAGGGAAATAATTTAAGGCACAAAAATATTATTCACTCACTTGGACCTCAGCTTCTATAAACAACATACATATATAATATAATAAATATGCCAATCAAGCCTTGATTATAAGATAACTGCTCTAAAAAAATGTATTGCAAATTTACAATAAACTAGCTTCTACCAGCGACTTCGTTCGTGTAGTATCGTGAGTTTAGGCAGAATATAATGTTCGACGTGTGGCGTCACAACAATACATAGGAAAAGTGTAGGAGAGACTTCGACACGAATGGGTCGACTCGACCTAAGTGATACCACGGCTTTAAAAAAAAACCAGGGTAAATCAACCACAGCATGGAGTTTCGCTATGTGGTGAGTTAACCAGAGAGGACCAATTTCTCTTTCCCTCTCCCAATCCCTTAATTTCCGAAACCCTAATCCCCAAAAGGCCGGCAACGTACTCGTAACTCCTTTGATGTTGCGGGTGTCCATAAACGGTGCAGATTGCTTACCATCAGGTTATCCGACTGCTCGTTTGCCGCCATATCACATTAACCTTGACCTAATTAGGTAATCTCTTAAGATATCAAACTTATTTACACAACCTTTTTTAATCTGAGGTCAATAATGAGGAATATTTTTAATTTAATTTTTATCACTGTTGGCTGTACTTTCCAAATGACAACATTTGCATTTAATATGATAATAATGTGTTTATTTTCCTTAAGTGACCAAAAATACCGCGCTGGGGTCTCGGGTCCAGAGTGCCAGTGCCTAGTGCAAGTTTCTCTTACGTTAACCCAATTGACATGTTTATTAAATTCAGTGCTCTGATTCGCCCATAGTTAATTGGGTGATGACCTATATTCTGAAATGCTTGAACCCACAAAAGATGAAGGAGAACCCGTTGGATGTTTTAAGTGTTTATCATAATAAGTGTGCTGGTTGACTAACCTATCCCAAAAATAGAAAACTGCCATCCGCGCGGGTCTGTACCCGCGCTTACGGTGGCCGGAGATCGTAGTGTCGCCTGTTGCGGCGGCTGGGGAGTGTGGAGGAGGATTGCTCCCTCACGCGAGCCGCCTCCCTCTTTGCGAGCATAACTGCTTCACAGAAGGAGGAGACGGCGTCCCAGTTCCTCTCACTCCGCACCATGGCCTCGACTAAGGCCGGGCGCGAGAGGCTGCCGCCGCCGATCACTTCCCCGAGGACACGGCAGTACTTAGTTCAAGCAATTCCGCCACCGTATGCTCCACCGTATTCTCTAGGTAGTCCTCACAATGACGACATTCGGGCGTTTTCTCCCGCTAGATCGGAAACAGGAACCTACCGAAGCTGCCATGCCCGGTAAGGACCTGCGTCAGGCGGAAGGTAAGGACGCCACTGTTATAATAGCGTGCTCGGCCCTCGGCCTGGACAGTCGCTGCTTCCACTCAGGTACTAATAAAGGTACGGTCTAAATATGTTCAGTAGTTTCGAAGTCTTAACAAACAATGATGAACATTGATACAAACGCTAATAATGTCGTAGTGGCCTGGAGGTTAAGGCTTGCCAAATATAAAGGCGCGGGTTCGAAACCTGACGAGTACCAATGTGATTTTTCCTAGTTATATGTTCTTTCTTTAAATATTTAGACACCACTGATATATATATACTATGCAGGAAAACACCGTGAGGAAACCTGGACTTATAAGCTATAAGCACACAAACTTTTGTACATAGGCGGACTCAATGCCGTAGGCTTTATCTACCAGTCTGACCTTTGGGTGATGCAGAAATGAGTAAAGTCGGTGAGCGCAAGCAGCAAACATTTTTAAAGATGTATAAGTTTTAAACAAATACAATAACAATATAAACTTACATAAACTAATATAACATACAAAATATGTATAAATAAATATAGAATACTAATATAAATACATAGATACTACATACTTATATTTATATAAATACTACAACTGTAATTTTACTAACTTTAAAATAATTTATCTATAAACATGTTAATGATTTATAAGATGCACAATACCTGGTTGGGTATAAATAAACTCACTTTGTATCTAGTACCTATCACATTCATCAGTTGTTTTGGAATAAATACAAGATCTCGGTCCGCGGGTAGTCATTCCATATCGGACAGCTGGAAACTGCATGCAAATAACAGTGCAATATACTTACAACTTCAAAGTTCCAATAGAGTGGTGTATTTTGGTGGTACTCGATACTATTAGACTGTAAAATGTTGTTGAAGATTCTTTTTATTGCGTTCATTGTTGGAACGGCTAGCGCCGCTACAGTAAGGGGCCGGCCTCCTCCGAAACCTTTAGCATTTGGAGAGTAGTTTTAAGATACGTTTAGAATTTCAAATCAGTTCTTTTTTTTATTTAATTGAACATTTGATTGGAATCTTAACTCCTAGGTGATTACGTTTTGTTTTGTGAGGGAAAATCATCCAATGATTTTTACCGCCCAGGCTCGGGTGGGAGGGTGTATCAGACTCTTTTACTGACCAAAAACCCAAGTTCCTTATCCCGCTCTGGGCCGCAGCCGCGCTGCCTTATTGCGCTTGGCCAGTAACCCCGGCTGAACATCAATCTAAAGGGCCTCGTCTGTGGTGGTGCACAAACTAAATATGATATTCTCAAAAAAATGTTTATGTTTATTTTTTCCTTTTCTTTTGCAGCTGACAAAGATGGTTGTTACATTGAGGAAATAAATGATGTTATTGGTTTTGGGGAATCAGTCGCTCCTATTGGTATATGTCACAGAATATATTGTGGAAGGATGATGACCTATGCGTCGTAAGTAAACCATACTAATATAGGTACTTTTAAAAACAATTAAATAAAAGAAAGAATACTAAATATACATTCACTTTTATATTGTTACAAGTGGCTCGCCCTTGCTTCGCACGGTTGTCCAACTACTTCAGTGTAATTCTTTTGTTTCATTAGCAAATGACCATGACACCGAAATGGTTGCTTTTTCCCTTTTTCCCGACTGCCAACGGGATGTTGGACGGATTTTGTTTAAAAAATTTATTATAGTTTATATATAGTTATACCTACATATATAAATAGAGTTACAGTTGAAATAAAAAAAAAACTTTTTTGGTTTTAAATAACATGGAAATCAACATTGAAAGTAAATGAAAACTTTAAGTTACAGCTTAGTAAAACATTTTAAGCAACTTAAACCTTACATTGGCTAGCGATTATAAAAAAAATACTTAAGATTTAATATGCATTTTGGTGTACACTTTATATTTAGATTTTTCTTAATTAACGAGTAGCCATAACGAGTCCACTAAATTAGATGATTCTTTTTAAAAGTCGCATAAAAATTATACAAACTTCTTAATCAGGGGGGAAATAGAACTCGGGTGAAGTTGGAGCGGGCTGCTTGTCAATGAAACAATGAATTTATTTTTGCAAATAGGCCATAAAACGGCACTTTTACACGTCAATTTATATGTACAAAAACTAGATGAAGCCGGCATTTCCTATCTAACTACGCTGAGAAGAAATGCCGAAACAAACTCACTCGTTATTTTAATTTATCTTACACGTATCCAGCTTGTAACAAACCAAATCAGTTTTGAAAATATTTTTTTTAGATGCAGCACAGTCCCGACTAACGATCCTACATGCCACGTGACCGGTGAAGATTTAAGTAAACCTTACCCACACTGCTGTCCTTACCTCAAATGCGACGCTCACGACGACTTATTTGAACCTTCGATTTTGCCAAAATGACATTATTATTATAAACAAATCGAATAATGTAAATATTTGTGTAATAACTACATTTAACGCCTAACTTATTGATTTCTCGATTACATTTTGAAAAATTGTTAATTGTATTAATTTATTTTTCTAATTATTAATTTATTTTTGTCTGTTATAACCTTTAAGAGTGTTTGGGTAGGTGTTCTGACCAAATATTCAAGTAATAAAAATATAGGAACTACTTTACCGAACCTGATTTTAATATGACTTTGCATAACACTTGTGTATGATACGCGATATGTCGAAGTTGTTTAAAAAGATAAAATATAATATTTTCAAACAGTTACATCATAAGTAATAAATAATAATTTCAATTTAATAATTATTTCGCAAGAACAGATAACAAATAGACATGTACATATTATACCGGTTAATATCGTCCATTATATTTTATTGTTATCAGGTAAATATATTTTGCAAAAATCATCTTTAACACAATAGGATAACGAACCAAATAAAATGTCTTGATTGACATAAAACATTAATTATCGCATTCTCGTCGCTTTCTATAAATAGAGAAC